TACAAAATGAAAGCTCACATAAAAAAGAATCAAACTGAAATCGAAAGGCATATAGTTACGAAAAACATTATATTTCGACTTCGATCTGACAATATTTTTGGCTGTTTAGTTGCACAACCTGTTCAAGAGAGAATACACTTTCAATTAACTCTTTCATAAGTTAATATTTGTAACGGCCCAAGCTCACTGCTAATAAATATTGTTTTCTTTGGGCCTTCCCTTTCGGGTTTCCCCTCAAAGTTTTTAAAACGTGTCTGCTAGGGAGATGTTTCCACACCCTTATAAAGAATGTTTCGTTCTCCTCCTCAACTGATGTGGAATCTCACAATTCACCCCCCTTTGGGGCCTAGCATCCTCGCTGGCACTCATTCCCTTCTCCAATTGATGTGGGACCCCATTGTGAGATCCCACATCGGTTGGGAAAGAGAATGAAACATTCTTTATAAGGGTTTGGAAACTTCTCCCTAGTAGACGCGTTTTAAAAACCTTGACACTCGTTCCCTTCTCCAATTGACGTGGAACCCTATTGTGAGATCCCACATCGGTTGGGAAAGAGAACAAAGCATTCTTTATAAGGTTGTGGAAACCTCTCCCTAGAAGACGCGTTTTAAAAACCTTGAGGGGAAGCCTGAAAGGGAAAGCCCACAGCCGTTACAGTTATAGGACACTAAGTTGAACAGAGAATGTTTTTGAAGATATAGTAGTGGTAGTTGTCACATGTTCCCTCTAATATCTTTATGATCTGATATTGGTTTGAAGAACCAATTTCTTATGGATGTTCAGGATAAGCTGGTGGAGTCATCTTTAAAAATAAATACACCTTCAGCCCCTGGACCCAGCATGGCTGCATATTCTCATATGATGCATAATATAAACAGAAATGTAAATTCGCCTTCTGAAGGTTAGCATCTTGAAATTTTTCCCTCTATACTTCTTCATAGTAGCACGTACCACCTCGAGTTATTCAAGTTTTTATCGACACGTTTCGTTTCATTAGTCTCAGAGATAAGCAGTGCAGCTGCACATCTTCTGGAACAGAATGCTCAAGCTTTTAGTCAAATTACTGCCAACCTTTCCATGTACAAGGTGAATATCTAATAGCAAATTATCTTGTCTTAATATTGAAGTATTATGTCACATTTCTTCTGTCTAGATTACTTCTTTACTGATGAGTATCAAATTCCCATGAGTTTAGTACCAACATCTGATTATTGTGAGATTCACTCTCTAAATTGGATGCTCTTAAAACAGATGAAGGCCCATCTGTTCTTACTTCTTTTTCCTTATGAAATCACTTGAAGGATCTGTCTAGTAGCTTATAAATGTTGCTTGGAGAATAAGGATGTGGGAATGAAATGATAGAGAGGACTTCTTGGACAATTTTGCAGGGTTCTTAAAACCTCGAATGCATAATGTCAACACTATACTCCTGAAGGAATGCACTTTTCTGTCACTTTCCGAGACACGTAACTAATACCTCGGTATAAACTGAACGTTTCCTAAATGAAGCTTACGAACATCTTATGATAGTTCATTTATGTTGGTTGTGCCTTATCTAAGAGTTCGTTCGTAGTAGACAAATCTATCCTAAAGAGTGTGCCCAAAATAATATTCCAAAGCTTTCTTCCACTTGCTTTGTTTTATTTTCATTCGTATCATCCAGCTCGGCCGCTCGTTTTGCTACCATTGGTCATTTTACTGCATTGTGATGTGTATTATCTTTTCAAGCAGTTGCAGGATAACATAGACCTGTTCTGTCGGACAAGGAATAACATTATTGCTATCTTAAATGAGTAAGTGGAGGTTTCATTTTATTATCTTCAAATGGGTTCCTTCCAAACTCAGTTCTTGGGCAGAATGATCATATATTAATGGAGATTTTGAATTGTAACATATGCAGCATGAGAGAAACACCAGGCATACTGAGCAAAATGCTACCACTTCCTGTATCTATAAATGAAGATCTTGCAAAAAGAATTTTACCTAGCACAACCTGGTAAGATCTCTAACAAAAACATGCTGGGCAGGTGCGAGGAACACAGAAAAGTTTCTCATTTTTGGATTGTATTCTCTCATTGAGCTCTGTAACATAAAAGATAACCCCAAGTCAAAGTTTTAATGTAAGCTACAAGAACAGAGGAAGGGAAAAAAGAGAAGAAAATGAAGAATGGGAGTGATTTCTGATGTGTTCTTGTGTTTTGAATTGGTTGGTCAGAATTGGATGTTTGGCCCTTGGTTGTGTTTTATGCCAGCACCAGGGCCATTGCAAGGAAATATGAACACGGAGAAGAAGACGATGACGACAATGACGACGATGTAGAGGTGATTGGTCGGGGTAACCGTTGTCTCGCTGCTGCCCAATCAAACGGAATCGAGTTGATGGCTGAGAAAAGAGTGTTTGATATTGATGTATGTCATGTCTGTGAGCTCCTTCAACACAGAGAGTATTAACAGTGAAGTAAGTGTCAGCTGCAGATATATTGGTCGGGAGATTTGAGTAATGGGGGGAGAGAGAGAGAGAGGAAAAATAACATTATTGTGAGAGAAATATTTGATATGAAAGTATAATTGGAGGAGCTGAAATGATTCTGTTACCAATAATTGGATTCCTGTGGTGTTCTTGCGTTGGAGGCTACTCTGATCAATTGGGTTGAATGGAAAATAGACCTTCACACTCTTCAATTATTTCATACTTTCTATGTCTATACCTCTTTAGCATATAATACTAGCTCAAACTTATCCCTAGTTGATATTCACCGCTTTGATCCGTTACGTATTGTCGTCTGCCTCACGATTTTAAAACGCGTCTACTAGAAAAAGGTTTCCACACCCTTAATAAGTAATGTTTCGTCACCCTCTCCAACCACTCTTATAGATAATATTTCGTCACCCTCTTCAACCGATATAAGATCTCATAATCCACCTCTCTTGAGGGCTCAACGTTCTCGCTAGAATACTGTCGAGTGTCTGGCTCTGATACCATTTGTCATAGTCCAAACTCACTGCACTGCTAACAAATGTTTGTCGAGTGTCTGGTTCTGATACCATTTGTAATAGCCCAAACTCACTACACTGCTAACAAATGTTTGGCTCTGATACCATTTGTAACCTAAATGTTGCTAACAAATATTGTCCGATTTGTAACAGCCCAAGCTTTGATACCATTTGAAGAGAACTCAAGTGCCATTGGGTGCCGGAGTTGCCGTCCAATTCGTTTCGGCTACTTTTTGCTTCTCCTTCAACATGATATCTCATTTTATTCTTTTTTATAATTTATTTTCGAATTACTCTTTAAAACAAATTTTTTAGTCTTTTAAAACTTAAAATAACTCATTGTTAAATAAAGATCGATTGAGTTAAAAAAATTAGTAATACAAACAATTGAATTGAGTTAAAAAAAAAAAAAAAAAAAGGTTCAAACTCAATTCAATCCAACCTCATTCTTCTATATGCTAAATTAAAAATGATGTCCTACAAGTATATAATTTGAGCACAACATTTTTTAGTTTAATCACACTATAAGGTATAGCTAAGTTCATTGTTCTTAGGATGGTTGAAACGGTTTACTTGATTGAATGCATTTAATTTAATAACACAACAACATAGCAAATCAAATCATTGACCTATGATCTTTGAATATGCATAGCTAAGTTCATTGTTCTTAGGGATTGTTGCAACGGTTTAATTGATTGGAATGCATTATTGTGCTTGATTTCATTCATACGTTTATTTGCCTAGCGTTTTCTATCTAGTCGAGTTGTCATAGAACGAATGTTAGAGGCTACTAGATCGACTTAAGAGTTTAGCTATGGTTACTACAATCCTCAAGAGAAAGGGTTGATGGAAAGCAAGCAAGCCTACTAGACATGGTAAGTAGTAATTGACCAAGATTATGAACTAACTAAGCCACAGGCACACTGAATGCAAATATTAAGCTCATCATCGTCATTTCTATATATATATATCCAAAGATCAAAGAGATGGGATGAGGTTTCTATCTTCTGGGTCCTTAAAACACTTCCAATTGTAGTGCCCAAATCCACAAACAGTACACTTTGGAAGGCTATGACGGATGATCTCCACATTTTTAAGATATGAACAACTATGCACAGTTCTTTCTCAACCAGAACATGGTATATATCAATTCAATAGAATATGATATAGCACACACAAGTGGTATATATCACTTCAACGAAAGAATCGAAGTTAAAATCACCCAAGATCCATCATCATTTCACATCTTCAAAACTAAAAGCTAAAACCCAGTTGGGATATCTATTTTGAATTTTGGTTTTTGGTTTTTGGTTCTTGAACATATCGTTTCTCTACAATAACTCTAGTCATCGTCGCTGTATCCTTTTACCAATGATCACTTTCATTGATCCTATCCAAAACAAAGATTGGATTGCTAATGCAATCTTCTTTTTCAATCATCAAGAGTTGTCCCTGATACTCAATTAAGATCACAGAAAGACTAAGTGCATGCAAAGGCGGAGAAGGTGGGAGTGATCATATTAGTGCAAGAAGCATATAATTTGACCTTCATTTCCTCAATCTCACGTATTGTCACACAGATCTCAAGGAAAGACACTAAATCAGATCTAAACTATGAGATTTCACGTTAGTTGGGGTGGAGAACGAAGCATTTTTTATAAGGGGTGGAAACCTCTCCCTAGCAGACACGTTTTAAAATACCTCGAAGGGAAGCCCAAAAGTAGAAAGCCTAAAGAAACAATATCTGCTAGCGATAGACTTGGGCCGTTACGTAAGTATACTCCTCTCAACTCTTCCATTACAACTATCACTTAAAATTAGGCAGAAAAATCTATGAGAAACTCTACAAATAAGGATGATTAAGTTGGATGTTCTTTCATTTATTCATTTGAAGATCAGACATTCCCTCAAGATATGAACTATTCATTCCTTTCTCTCTTGCTTTTCATGATGAAGGAAGCAATCGTTTCTATACATCCTAAGGAAGTAAAAGAACAATGCAGACAGTCCCTTCGGGGACATTCGATAAAATTGGAACGATACGTAGGAAGATTAGCATGACCCATGCGTAAGGATGACATACACAAATCGAAAAATGGTCCAAATTTTTAAAAAAGAACAATGCAGACATACAAACTGGCAACATGTTAAACTACTAAGCGCTTTTCTGCATTTATTCAACTAATTTGATAGGTCTAATACAGTATCATCAAACAAAACTGCATGTATTAGTGAAGTTTATGCTTAAAGAAAGGAAAAAACCTGTCCTCATTAGATTCAATTTGCTCCTATTTCATCCTGCAATTGAACTACAAGCAGTTGGCAGATAAAACTATGAGTAAGATGAGCTAAACAACAAAAATCAGCATACAAAAAAAAGTATCACCTTATTCGCTTACTCATTTTCTAAGAGCCCTCCTTTAGTTCTCATCTGATCCGAAGATTTTCATCCTTGACAATGGAGTCCGTAGGTACCCATCAACCTCAAATTTCTTTGGTGAGAGCTCCCTGTACTTGCTGAATTGCTGTCTGGCTTCCTCGTTCTTGTCAAGCAAGCTGTAGATCATTCCTTGACAGAAGTATGGCCTAAAGTCGCTAGGATCCTCCTTGATCAATTCTTTGTAACTCGTCAAGGCCCCCTCTACATTCTTCTGCAAGAACTGTATTTGAGCCATTATCAACCTCACATCCCTGGCCTCCTTCGCTTTCTTTTCGTTTTCAGCAATTCTCAAAGCCTGTTCTAAGCGCAGGAGCACTGCCTCCCCTTCCCCACAACGATCCATTAACAATGCGTTTTCAAACAATGCTTCGAATGACAATGGATTCTCAGCCAAAATCTCCTCGAAAACTTCTCGTGCATTTTCCGTTTTGCCCATTTCGCCGAGCAATCTGGCCTTGAGAAATTTCCACTCGGTCACCGACGACTGAGCAGATACCAATTGATTCAAGATTTTCAGCGCTTCTTCATCCTCACTATTTTCAAGTTTCTGCTGCAGAAGCGATTTGAGAGCCTCAACAGCTTCAGAATTCGATTCGAGAAAATCATTCAACGGTGAGGATTGCTGCCCGTCTTGGTCCGAGTCCTCAACAATCCGCTGCTCTTCCTCTATTCTCGAAGCTTCCTCCTCTACAACCACCGGCGACTCCGCTCTGGCAGGCAAATGCGAAAATTTTCCAACCATGGTAGCGGCAGCACCAATAAGAATCGCAGCTCTGGCGTAGTTCTTGAAGCATTGAACAACAGGGTGGTTCCTGGAAACGGGAACAGACGAAGCCCTAACCCTAAAACGATGCACAGAAACAGAAGTGCGAGAAATGGGAGCGGCGAAGCGGAGATTGGGGGGTGGAACTGGTTTCGATTTAGAAGAAATAAAGATAGATGAAAGAGAAGAAGAAGAGGGTGAAGACATGGACGCAAATGTGAAGCTCATGGCTATGGCGGCGAACGGAGAAAGAGAGAAAGGGGTTTAAGGGTGGCCGGAGGATCTTGGAGATTTGAGTTTGGTAGACGGCGATTTCGAGGACAAGGGAAACTGCACAGTTTTGGAATGTGATAGAGAGGAACTTTCGGAGCCTGTTTCTGCAAGTTATCCCCACCAACCGCCGCCGCCGTCCCCGTTGGAATTCCGACTACTAAAACTACGCCGTTTAGTTACCTACTTAACTTGCCTAAAGAGCGTTCAAGAAAGGATTTTAAATATTCGTTTCTTTTTCAAATTTGTGTTATTTGGTTTTTAGTGAATTTTGGAGCTTTTTAAAATTTACAAATTTATTACACATAAAATTAAAATTGGTTGACTTTTATTTTAAATAAACTTTTAATTTATATTTAATCTACCTATTAATTAATTTTAATAATTTATCTAAAATTTAGTAAACATTTTTTTTAAACTTTAGAGATCACCATAAAATTATAATTTAACCTAAATATAAATATTAAAATATTATTTTAGTCAAGTATTTTGAAATTTATTTATTTTTTCTCTATATTTTTAAATGTCTATTATTTTACCTCTATTAAATTCTTCTCTATACTTTTTTTTAAAATATATTCACATTTATATTTTGTTTGAAAATTATTATTAAATTAACTTCAAATAACTAACTTTTTTGTTTAATAAAAATAAATAAACTAAATTTAGATCATTGAAATTATAATAAATTCAAACTATTAAATTATACTTTAATATAAATAAATACATAAATAATAGAAGGGAAAAAAAAGGCAATAGTATAAATTTTCACTTTATTTTTTTCTTGAACTTTTGGCTGAGTATTAGATTCTAGATCAATTTTTATTTTCAAATTTCTCTTTTCAATTCATTGATAAAAATTTAAAATAAGTTTTTACTTTTTTAGAGTTAATTTAAATCAAAATTAGTTAAAATATAATAATTTTTATGTTAAAAAAATATAATTTAAAATTAAATTAGAGAGGAATTAATAGCTGTTAACGGGCCAATATTAAGCTCTCTCGACAAGTAAATTTGCATATTTAAAATTACAAATAAAATTAAAATAGAATGAAATTCCAGTAAATTTGATTCTATTTTAAAAGGTAAATAATAGAATTTATTTTGTGGTCTAAGATATGTTTTAATTTATTCTTTAATTTTAATTTTTTAATTTTTTAATTTTTTGCTATTTTCTATTTCTCTATTTTCCTTCCTTTTTTTTTTCTCAATTTTCCTCTATATTTTGCTTTTTTCTATTTTTGTCTTTCTTTTTCCTTCTATTTTACATTCATTTATCTTTCTTTTGGGTTCATATATATGTGTGTGTATATATATATATATATTAATATTTATATCATTCTTTTCTTATTCTTTTTCATTAATCTCTTACATTTATTTTATTATATTATGAATAATAAAATAAATGTACATCATTTATTATTTTTTTATTGTTTTATTAATAACTTATCATAATTATATAAAAATGATAAGATAATTTATTTTAAATCATTTATTCTCCCACGATATTTAATTTTTGAAATGTAACCTGATTTATTCTTCAGTAAACTAATTATCTACAATTAAAAGTTTCTATTATTTTATTAAAATTGTTTAGAGTATAATTATTAAACTTTAAATGCTAAATAAACTAGCATATTATTCCTAATATACTAAATATATGACTTTCATATGTACCGATATTCCTTTTACTGCGAGCTAGTCTCTTACTTAGGACATGCCTAAAAAAATAAAACATTAGTTAAGCACTAGTCGTCTATATATATATAAGCTTGAATGAAGCTAAGTGGAGGTCCAAACCGATTGATATTGAAGAATCAATGGATAAGTTGTAGTTAGAGATGAAATGTCACTCGAGGAGAAAGGGGGCTCAAGCGGGAAGAGGATTGTAACATGAGAGAACCAAGGAGGTCAACCTGTTTCAAATATACATCATGAATTCTAAGAACGCAATCTAGTTGGACTCTCAAGTCGAAGAACGCAATCTAGTTGGACTCTCAAGTCGATCCGAATGAATCATCTGGTAAATCTTTCATATATATATATATATATATATACCATTCTAAAAAATCTAATATGTTATTCATACAATTAAACCCCCAAGAACAATCCTTTTAGTAATTTGATGCTATCAACATATAAGAAGAAAATTTAAGAAATGAAACAAAACAGTGCAATATGGCGGGTAAGAGTGATTTTATATTATCTACTTCCAAAAGCAGCATCACATTGTATTGTTTTTATGTATACTTGGAGATCTAAATTTATGTACAAAGACTGCAGAAAACTTGATATACACACTGACTTGACGAGAACTAAATACAACATTCAGCTCTTTAGGACTAATAATGATATATCATTATACAACACACATCAAATTCCTAACCTCTTCACACCGCATTCTGAGCAGAACTTAGAGCTTTCTCTTAAATATGGAGCTCCACATTCGTCACAGAACTTGGCAGGACTGGATGGCTGCAAATAAATCAGTAAATCACAAATACACACAAAATGGATACGAATTATCAAAATAGAATTAGAACATCATCAAGTAAAATATTTTATAGCATTCAGATTTCAGGATCCTTCATTGAAAATAAGGAGGGGAATCCGGAGCATTTGAAATGGTGCTGAAAATTAAGATTCTCGAATCACTCTTCTGGCAGTAGAGATTGCCCAAGCATTACATAAAGCATTGTAAGACAGCTTAAAGATTAACTTTCAGACGATAGAGGACCAGTTGTTCCTATTAACATGTTTTTCAGAATGCTTATTACTATAAAGTTTATCCCACATACTAATTTAAACACAACAACGAAAAATTGGGATGGGGGTATTCTTAGTTGTGGGAGGGGGGATTTGGAATTACCAGCCCATGATGCAAGCGCCCACCGACATGAACAACTGAAAGAGGTTGTAAGCAAGCTATGTGTTGTGACATTGTTGGAGAATGATGAGTATGAGAAATGTCCGGTAACTGTGAAGGTTGACCACACTGATGACTATGAGCAAATTGGGGAGTATGTTGGTGCATGGACTGATGAACAGACTGAAATTGAGGTTGATGAGGCAGTTGTTGGATATGATGTTTGCAGGGTGTCTGTTGCTGATTTAAAGGTCGTCGACAAGAAAGAAAAGTCAGTTTTTTAGTTTTTAGGATCAAACAAGACATCTGCATAATATAAATCACTTTGCCATGTTGATACTCCCACCATTTCCTAGAATAAATGTTCTTGAAGCAAGGACTGACTCTAGAGAACTCAAAACTCTAGTTTTTGCCAATCAGTAAGTAATGGTGGATTCTGTTAGAGGGGCATAATGATCAAGATTAAACAGATAGACTAATCACCAAAGAGAAAAGGTGCTGTTCATTCTTACTTCGCTTAGAGAGCGGAATGCTTGACCACTAGTCAGAGTAGAAGAATTGTCACCACTCGAAAATGTCTGAAAATAATACATCAAACATTATTTCTCCAACAATACTTCAGTTCTACAATATAATTATATGCAGGTTTAACGACAATTTATCAATTATTATAACGAACAAAATTAAGGAAAATCGATACATCGTCCCTGACACCATTTAGATAACACCAAAGCTACAGCCATGATATATTATGGAAAATTACCTGCAAAA